TTCTATAGCTCAGATCTGATCAAAGTTTGGCACCCAGTTCATAGCAGTGCTATATGATTTTCTGACATCTTGTTTCTGTAAAGATTTTATTGGTAGGTTTGCAAATGTGTATCCGACTGTGCAATCTCTCCATGAGTTGGTTTGAAACCCAGTATGGGATTCTGAGATACATTACCAAGGATATTATCACAAGATAAATCATTGCTTCATTGAACACATACAACAATGCATATTTCCACTGAGATCAGTGACCTTTGATGTGTATCACCAGTGATCAGTCAAGTAGAAACTGTCAAAATATTTTATCAGATTTTCTCAATTTTTGCATGATATTTTCATACAGGACATCTGTTGTTCAAACTCAGGGAAGACTTTATACTGATGAATAAGGTGACCAAGTTTGATAAAGTTTGGAATAGAATTAGTAAAGTTATTATGCACACAATAACAATTATTAACGACGACAACAACAACGACGACGACGACAACGCCGGACAAAATTTTTCCCTTAATATACCTTTCCCTTCCATCTTTGATGGTACGGGCAAGGTAATAAAACGAGTAGTCGAAAGTTCACTACATATTTGCTGCAATTCGCATAAATTTAGATAATCAAATAATTCACTCAATATAGCAATAGGAATGATCTGAGAGCAAAATCAATGTGGTCCATTTCTATTAGTTAGAAGAATACCAACTTGGAATACTAGTAAGCTAATATTAGTAGAAGAGGAATACAATAAAACAACACCTTCTTTGTCTTTGGCAACAACTGAGATGACTTCAGAAACCAAACATGTAACAGGGGTACACTTTGGTTCTTTGCTTGAATCAGCACATGTCAGATGACTAGTCTTTGATTCTTTGCTTGAATCAGCACACAACACAGGCCTAGTCTTTGGTTCTTTGCTTATGTAAGCAGCAATACAAGTAACACAACCATGAGATGGATTATCATGACTGTACAATTTCACAGGATGAAAGGCACTTGTCTTTGGAAACACTGTATTCAGAATTCCATGCACAGTTTTATCAGGAAGCCCATTGACACTGAAGACACATATCAATTGATTTACTGTCCCAAGTCTTTTGCTTATAATCTGTTCATCAATTACTTTAAAGTAAGATTCTAGTTTTATGATATTTTCATTAGGTACAAGGCATAGTACTATATTTTCGTTTCTTGACATGACTGGTTTCAATTCTACAGCAAGTTTTAATACTATAGTACTGCTACAAAAGATTGTATCAAGTTTAGGATGGATTTCTACAGAATAATCATTTAAGGTTGTTATATCAATCCAATTTTTTATCGTGACTAACTCTTTTTGTTTGTATGCTGTGTTACAAGAGGTATGAGTGACTTTTGTTGTATCCATAACAGTTCCACTTGACCATTCATACAACTCAGTTTTGCATATAATATCCTCTTTATGTATATGGCCCATGCTGCTGTAGTTGTAGCCATGGTTTAGTACTTGTAGGCCATGTGTTTTTAGTTGCAGCTCATTGTCTCGTAGTTCTGATTCATCGTCCAGTGATTGTAGGGCATTGTCTGATAGTTGTGGCTCATGGTCTGGTAAATTTGATTCGTGGTCAGTAAATGTAGGTGATGGTCTGACAGTTGTGGCACAGAGTCTTTTGATTGTGCCTTATTGTTCAGTAGAATCTCATCGTCTGGTAGTTGTGATTTGAGCTGTTTTAGATCTGACTCATATTCAGTTAGTTGTGAGCCATGGTCAGGTAGTAGTGACCCCTGATCTGGTAGCGGATCACAGTTCAGCAGTTGTGGCTCATCATATTGCTGTTTGTAACTTTGTTCCCAAGGCACATGTTCCTGTTGCTGTGTAAGGGAGTGTTGACTTAATGACATAGAACTGTCTAGTTCACTTTCATCTTCACTTTCACAGCAATGGTTCTTACAAAACAATGTCCTTCTGTATCTGTGAAAAACAAAGCATGAAATAAAATTCAAAAATTTTAATCAGTGTGTTTTTTGTATATCATAAATATTGTTATATAACAAGTTTATTACATCTTTAAGACTACAAACATGTTTCTATTAATGTATAGTAAGAAAGAATAACAAAATTAGTATGAATATGAATAATGGAAATATTGATTTCGATTTTGCATTCAAACATCATTGTTTCCAAAGGTGTTAATGGTTTATGCGTGCCTTGCAATAACTGAAAGATTTTTCAAAAATATGTTATAAGAAATGATATCACTTATAAATAATATTTTAGGCATTCCATGATGTGTAGCTTATCTAAAATGTATGAGCATTGACCACAATTTCAGGTTTCACATTTCTACAGGTGTTTATGGTGGATTTGGTATGCCTTCCTTTTCAATGGCTGGATGTTGTTAGTTCTGAAGTGAAACTCTTGTTTCAAATTTAGTACAGTATTCCTCAAAACAAATTCTGTTTTTTACAAGTAGCTTTGTATGACTTACTGTAGATTTGGGGCATCACGAATAAATTTATAATGACCATTATCCAATTTAGCACAATGATAATGATATGTAGCTTTACAATGTTTTACTTCACATCCAACTGTAGCACCTGTTTTCCCACATTCTTTATATCTGCATCTCTGATGAATGAAACAAATATGCAGCAAGTTAGACAATTCAAGTGGTGTTCCCCGATTTCAGAAAACGTGGATAAATTATATAAGCCTTGCCTACAGTCATCATAACACAAGTAATCATCAGTAGCATAGTGGAAGTCACTCATGATTTGAATACCCTAGTAACTAATGACTGTAGATGATCATGTCAACTGGGCTGGTTGACATGAGGACAGTTAAATTAATTTGTGCAAAAATTCCATTATGATAGGTAGATGTACCACAAGCACAAGCAATTGCATGAACTAGTTAGTGACAAATTTTTTTTTTTTAAATAGATGCTAAAGTATATTCCTGTTCCTGAAATATTGTTTTGACAACAAACATACAACAAGTCTTGTTTATGCTGCTGTATACATTAATTCAAAACTATGATTAAATTTATTAGACCAAACCAAACTATATTATATTGAAATTATCGACACTTAAATAATACTCAGAATACATGTATTTCCAAACTAGTGTCAGATATTCAAATACAAAATATAAATATATATTGTTCAAATCAAATTATAATATAAAGATTAACAAACAATGATATTATGCAAATTATCTAATTAATATGCACAAACTGATATTTGACTGTTATGATACCAACCAAACATACTAAATGTACTAGTAGTTGAAATTGATTAAATATGCAAATTACCAAAATGAAAATAATACCAATATGAAATTGCATTTGAATCTTCAAAGTGGTTCTTATAGGTGAAACAAGATTAAATCATATTGTCGTTTGTGCTCTAAAAAATATACAAGCAAAAAACAAATGATTATACTCTTAAAGTGTGGCAGTTGTTTCATAGCATTCATGTATGAGAATTCTGTATATATACTCAACACATTTTGTATCACATTGGGCCTATATTGTCAACAAGAAAGAGTTCATCAGAATAATGGTAATGTATGCAGTAGAAATAAGCTTATGGATGTATTTACCAATTTTCTTCCTCTCCTCATTTCTTGTCTAACTTTATTTGCATCAAAACCTTCTCCAAAGTTAACAAACTTTTCACTGTATGGAGATACTTCTAATCCAAGACCACTAGAATTGAACTGTTAAGATACAACAATCAGATAAAATTAGAGTGTAATATAAATAATAAGATTACAATTACATTTACGACAAGAGACATTACAATAGATACATGTATTCAATGGAGCTTAATCAATAGTTTTCTT